TTATTTATGATCACAGTGCTCTGAAATCATTAATAATAGATTAAGAATTCCTCTTCATCAGCAAATACTGATTGACTTTTTATTATTATCTTATAATAAGATATCTTCTCAGTACTGTATTTCATTCACAGATAGATGATCAGACTGAATATCAGAATCAGATACTAGAATAGTATCTTTAAGTATTCTATTTATATTATTAGAATAATTGACTTAAACATCTTCTAACTGCTGAATTTATATATAACAATATAAAGAATGTAATCTTAAAGATATCTTCTTTCTATACTTATTATAAATATAATTCTTCATTACTCAGTAATATCACAGACAATATTTCAAAGAGAGAAATAGACAGTCAGAATATTGAACAGATACAGAGAACAGAGTATTTCTTATTATCAGAAGTAAAAGTGAGATTGAAACTTTTAAATAAAATTTATAAGCAGATAGTGAAAAGTATTTACTGTGTTCAGAAGTAGTAGATAAAATACTATAATTGTAAACATCTTTCAATAAAGTTCTTAATAGAGAATTAAGTACTACTTTCAGCAAAGAATATCAAGATAATAAGACTGTGTAAGAAGCTCAGTGAGTGATGACTAGAATCTTTCTTAGTAACAAGAGTAATAAGTAAGCAGATATATAAATTGAAATTATTCATAGAATTGAAATTAATTTATTTTATTTTTCACATTTTCTATTTAAAGTTCTATAAATAATATCTCAGAGTGAAGTCATCTCAGCTGAATAATATTAAGATAGAGAGTAATACTGAATATCTTATGAAGAAAATATTGAATAAGTGAATATATTATAACAAGCTTCAATATCTTGTGAAATGAAAAGATTATTCATTGTCAGAGAATTCATGAAAACTACTTAAGTATTTGAAAAATACTGAGAAAGAGATTGCAAGCTATGAGATAGCTAGTAGAGATTATCTTATTATATACTAGAGATATTGAGTAAGAAATGCTGCTTAAGACTTCTCATTTTTCTCAAAGAATTTTTTAAAGATAATCTTACAGTGATGAGTCAGTGTCTTATAAGCTCTGTAACACTCTTCTTCTATTTTCTTTCAAAGAGTTTTTAGAAGTTTAATGAGACTACACAAGTATAAAATTCCTGAAGCAGTTAATAAGAAAAGAAAGAAATATTTGAAATTAATAAGAATTAATATTATCAATCTGCAGATCACTGCTATTCTAATAGAGTCACAGTCTGCTGAAAAAGTAAAAAGAGAGAATCTCAGAGTTTACTTATTAATAATTACATCTTTATTAAACTCATTCTTTATCATTGAAGTCTCTAACACTGATATCTTTATCTACTGAGAAGTTAGTACTGTAGTACTGCAGAGAAGCATGCTACAGAAGAATATGAGAGATACTGAAAGTATTAACTTATTAACTTATAAAATATCTTAATTATCTGTTTTAACTAAAGTGAGATTCTCTTTAATTAGTAATTGATCTTTGCAGTGCTTTTAATAACAGTGCTGACTAATCTCTTCTTAAGATCAGTCATTCTGAGGTGTTTTTTCATCTCAGAGACTTATGCTTTCATCTTCTTTTATAGATAAGTAAAAGAGATCTTCTCAGTCTTGACAGAATCTGTTAATACTTGAAGCTCTGAGACTCTCACTCTGTACTACTTGAGTATCTAGACTTCTTATCAGAGCTGATATAACATCTTTCTATGAGATAATACTTATAGAGAGACAGAAGTCATTGTTATTATTATTATTATTATTATTCTTCAATTATAGATGTATGCAGTCAGAGACTATGACATCTACCTGAGAACTTTTAGTTCTCAGGGTTTTTCCTATATCTGTAAAGTTAACTATTATACATTCATCAATTTCAGATATGCAAAATCAGAAAATTCCAGCCCAGAATACAAAAACTGTTTACAAATTGCAGTGTTTTAACATCATCTCATACTTTGAAATCATTTGACAATATCATGACAAAGGAAAAGAGAACACAGTCTTAAAGATAGACACATTAAATAGATAGACAGAAAGAAATTGAAATGAAAAGATAAAATAAAGAAAGACTGTAACAAAACAAATTATTAAAAGATAGTATATAGCTGTTTTAACAGACTATATCTGGTTGATTTCCTCCTCTTCATATTCAGATAATTCTGAATTTAGCCATTTTCTTGTAGCTGCTTGAGTTTCTGATATAAAGTTTATTAAGTATTTAATTTCTGTCTCAGTTAAGAATAAGAATCTCATATTTAATTGATTTAGATCATACTTCTCTTTCAATCTGACTCTGAGACTATTGTATAATGCACAGTGTATTACAATATGCTCAGAATTCTCATTTGTATTGCAGAATGAGCATTCTATTGAGTCAAATCTATCATCAAATCTTTGTATATAAGATTTGAAATAGCCATGTCCTAGTTTCAGCTGTATTATAGATGAGAATATTTTCTTTTTACATTTAATTGAACAAGATTTCCACTTGGGTTTTGTTTCAAATCTTGAATAATGTATACTCTTCTTTTGTTTCTGCCAGCTTTCATTTCACTTGTCTAAACAAGATTCTTTTATTTTTCTCTTTATAAAAGACCAGGACATAATTTTTTGAATAGATCTGCTTAATTCTGCACCCTTTTTTGCAGCTGAATCAGCCAATTCATTGCCATGAATATTCATATGAGCAGGAACTCAGTGTAGATGAATTATCAGCTTTGATATTCTTCTCTTTTGAATTTTCAAAATAGAGTTTAAGATCAGTTCAAGATTCATTTGATCATTATGAATCTGACTATTTCTAAGTCTTTTTAAAGCAGCTTGACTATCAGAGAATATTCATACCTCTTTCAAACAATTTCCTCTTTTATGAGATTTTATTGTAATGAGTTTGAAAGCTTTCACTATTATAAATAGTTCAGCATCAAAGACTTCACATTCAGAGCCTAGATTCCAGAAATCTGAGATAAAATTGATATTATCTTCAGTATAAGCAATGTCTGCATCTAATCTATTCAAGTTCTCATTTTTTGAGTCATCTGAATAAATCAGAATAGAGTTCTTTATATTGATTGTAGAAATTCTCTTCAAATACTGTTCATATTCTTTCTCTTTTGATAGTTCACTTATTTGTAAGTCTATAAGAGATTCAAGCTTTTCTCTCCAGAGAGATAACTTCTCATGATCAACTTTTTCAACATTTAAAGAAGAAAATTGATTTTTAATCAGAGAGCATAGTCTGTACAGTTGAGAAGGCATTTTCTTTGAAGAATTATTTTCATTCCAATCAAGAAATCTATTTCAATCCAGTTCATTTCCAGAGTTAATTGATGGAAATGAAGAAGAGACTCTTTCTCTGATTATATGATTTGAGCTCATCTTTACAACTCTCAGAGCATAGTTCATACAGGCCTTTTCAAATCTAATAGCAGGAGGAGGAATTGAAGCTTCAATTTCCAATGCTTTAATAGGAGATGATTTGAATGCTCTCAGAATTCTTCTCAAGGCTCTGTTTTGCAGACTTTGAAAGAGTTCAGTGAAATTCCCTTGATTATTTCATCAAACTTGAACTTCATAATCAGCTACTGATGTAATACAGGCTATATATAACTGTCTCATAGCCTGGAAGAATAGACCTCTCTCTGTATTTGATAGTCTGATTATGTTGTTCAATAGTCTTTCTGCCTTGACAGTTCTTTGTTGAATGTGATATTTAAAATTCAACTTGGAGTTTAACCATACTTCTAATTATTTGACATTTACACTGGGTTTAATCTCTCTATTTAAAAGAGTTAGAGATAGTTCTTTCTCATTGAATCTTGGAAAGAAGTGAATTAACTCAGTTTTATTCATATTAAATTGAATTTGATTGATATCTGCTCTAACAAAGATTTTCTTTGCAGCTTCTTCAATTACTTTCAAATTCTCTTTGATAGTTTTTGAGCTGTAGACTAGATCAATATCATCCACATAACTTGGAGATCGCACTATTCTCATATTTCTATTTTTAAATAGATATGCAGTGTATATTGCAAATAAAATGAGTGAGATTGGAGATTCCTGTGATACTCCTATTTTTATCTCAGTCTTGTCTTGTTTCATTCCATCAAAGAAGAGTTGTATACTTCTTTTAGACATAAAACAGTTAACTCATTTTATTAGAGAAAGTGGCAGTTTTAATATCTTCAATGTCTGAATTAACTTTGACTTTGAAACATGATCAAATGCTTCTTTTATATCAATAAAAACTGCAGTTGAGACCAGACCCTCATGCTTTGCTATTTGAATATCATGAACAACTGAGAGAACAGTGTCAATTGCAGAACACTGTTTTCTACCTCTCATTTGTTCACTGAATAAAAGAGAATCATCTATAGAGCTTATAAAAGATAGTTGAGTAGCTATTATCTTTTCTAAAACCTTTTCTAGGCAGTTCAATAGAGATATTACTTTATATGACTTAGGAATTGAAGTTTTTCTATTAGGTTTTGCAAGAATCACTCCAGTGGCTTCTCTCCAGCATTCAGGATGATATTCATTTTTCAAGAGATTGAAAAAGAGCTCAAAATATTCATTCTTTAAGTAGGAATATGTATTCTGAATAATCAAGTGATTAATTGAATCAGGACCTGCAGCAGTTTTAACAGAACATGAGAAGACAGCTGACTTTAATTCATCTTGTGTAAGATCAGGCCATTCCCAGTCATTTTCATCGATGTAGTTGAGAAGTGATATATTCTCTTCCTCTGAATCTGAATCTGAATCTGGTGAGACCAAGTCATTGTTATAAATGTAATGAAAATAACAGAAGTAGAAGAAGAAGTGAGTATATAAAATCTTCTTCTTCTTCAGCTGCTTAGTGCAGTGTAGATAAGTAGTGATACTAGTCAGAGACTGCACTGAAGCCTTCTTACAGAGAGAAGACAAAGAAACTGTGAGATTCTGCAGACTCAACTCAGCAGTATTCTGAGCAGGGCTCAGATATATCATAGAAGAGGAACTACAGATTGAGCTTCTTGAAGTCACTGTTCCCAGAATCAAGCTCTTCCCAGGGTCCTCTTCAAATGATCACATGAGGTCATATGCCACTGTGTTGATTGAGAGAGGGGATGGCGTCACAACAGCGGTGGGGGAGGCACAGAAAGAACTGGACACAGATGAACTGACCAGCAGAAGGGATGACATCTCACTGCAAGGCACAGCAACAACCACCACGGCCGCAAGAGAAGCAGGAGAAGGAGAAGAAGGAGAAGGTATGACAATGAGAGCAGTGCTCCCGCGGTCTGTCAACACTGCTGTCTTCATCTTCAACTGAGCTTTCTTGACAGTCATGAAGGCTGCAGCTGCATCACAAAGACATTTATTCACTAGAAAATGTCAGAATAAGCTCTTTATTATTCTTCAAGAATGATACTCTCATACACTCACTGTTATAATTGAGAGAGAGAAAAAGAAAAATATTTCATAAGAGAGAGAGATCTTTTCAAAAAATCCTGTTACTACTGTTAACTTTGTCTCTAAAACACATCACTTTTACAGAGAATTTTATATATAGAATGAAATATATTGAGAGATCTATAAGTCACTTATTAACTACATTTTTCATATTTTAAATTGATATATAAGAAACTCACTTATCATGTATTTAATTTGAATAAAGATAAAAAAAGAAAGATCTATACAGTCAGTAGAAAAACTCATTTATTTCTTTATATTATATACAGTATATACACTGTTAATCAGTTGATAACTATTACTATATAATAAAGATAATTTCTAATTCAGTAATCTTGAGAGTATAGAGACTATACTTTTAAAGAGAAGAGTATTATCACACTCTCAGCTGTATTAAGACTCTGTTATAATTTCACACAGCTTATTACTTTCATGTAAATAATTTCATTCTATCTGAACTAGTTTCTAATCACTCTATAACATTATTCAGATATATTATAGAAAGATTCAATTGATAAATATGAGAATCTTACTTCTATATAAGATTAGCAGATTACTCTTTCTTAATAATAAAATGCTGCTGAGATATCACTTCAGCTATTCTAACTCATGAAATGAGAGAAGAGTATTCACTCATTATCTATATAGAATAGCTAGATACTGACTTCTTATTAAAGAAGTCAGTAATTCATTTTTCTTCTACTGAAATAAATATAAGAGTTACTGCATGTCTCATACAATCTTCTTAGTATACTAAGTATCATATCTGTGATATTCTTGTAATAACTCTGTAGTCTACAAGCTCACTATTCAAGCAAGATAGTTAAGCTCACTTATACAGCTTCTTAAACAACTATCTCTACATGACGCCGCTGACTAGTCATCACTTCGGTTCCGCCATGTTACAAAGAGATAGAAATAGAGATAAAGAATTATTGAGAAGTAAGATTTCTTATATATTTCTCTCTCTCTAAGACTTCATCTGTGAAGTCTTTTATTAAGTGATTTTATAGAATCAGACTCAGTACTGCAGTAATACTCCCTAAAAATTCTTCATATCTATAAAAAAATCTCAGTGAGGAAAAATCTCTTATTACTATAAAGAGAAAAGAGTCTATTACTTAGTTTATTATTCTATAAGATTCTTTATAATCTGCAGATCTTTCTCTGACTATTATACAGATTTATCTCACATCTTTTATACAGAAGAGTTTCAGTTAACTCTCAATCATTTCTGTGAGATTCTTAAATAATTATCATACAGATTCATTCTATAACTTTCAATCTGAATAATTTCAGTTAATCTTCAATCATTTTTCTACAAGATTCTTATGTGACTGTTACATAGATTCATTCTGCAGATGAATCACTTTCTGTAAGATTACTCTTATCAAAGAGAAGTATTTATAAGTTAATCTTTTACTCATTCTTATAAATTATCATTCTTTAACACTGTAGAGTTGTAAGGAATTTTTCATTCTTTCATTAACTCTGTAGATTTATAGAATCAAGATATCTACAGTCTATAATCACTCTTTATAGTTCTATAGAAGGATTCAGATCTGTAATTTATAATTATTCTTTATTTACTAGAGTGATCTGACTGTTCTATAAGATTACTTATAGTGTAAATAAATCTCTCTAGAGTAGTATAAATATCTCAGATCTGTTTATAAAATCTTATCTTCTTTTCTCTTTTTCTGTAACAGCTCTTATTCTTATAAACTGTGAGTATCTTCATTCATTTATAAAGTGTTTTTACTTAGATAATAGAGAGAGAGTATTTCTGACAATATCTGTATATTAATTCAAGAACTTCTTAACAATTAAAATTTTTTCAATTTTAATATCTTTATAAATAATATCTGACTACTACTGAGCTTCTTATAAGTATTTTTATAATATCTCTAATTACTTTCTATCAGCTGATAATGCAGAGATATTATTATCTGTAATAGTATCTTTACTTCTCTCAGACTTATTATTATATCTGATCTTCAGATTAGCAGCTAATTTTATATCTCTCTCAGATCAGCTTCTAACTCTTAGTAGTATAGTTCTTCTCTTTACTATAAGTCTCTCTGTAAGTAATTTCTTACAGATTCTAGATAATAGTTTCTACAAAGCTCTCAGTGCTGCTAGTGCTCTCTGCAGCTCTGTGAGTCTATAATTATCTGCTCTCTACTTATACAATCTCTGATCAGATATATGCAAATATGTCTAGATTCTCTATTAACAGTTCTCATATTATAGCATATTTCTGCAACTTCATCATCAATGAGAGATGAGTCTCTGAGTATCTGTAAAATTCAGATAATTAAGATAATATAAATGTTATGAATTTGTAATAAGAGTTAATCTGAGTAGATAAGCTCTCTCTCTGCATCTCAATTATTTCTGAGCTGAATACTTCAGTGTAACTGAAGAAGTGAATACAGCTTTGTAAGAGATATCTGATTATATATATAGATAATCAGCTCTCAAGACTCTGCTACAAATACATACACTCTGATATTCAGCTCTCTTAAAGTCTATATATTTATGACAGTCTTTATATTAAATATATTAATTATCTGTACTGCAGATATAATACTCTCTGCTTCTTTAAAGAGAAAAATTAATAGTTATAAGAGAATTCAGTATTATAGATATTAAGAATATAAATGTGAGTTTTCTTTGTTTTTTCTTTATTAATCTCTAAATTATATTTATAGTCTGATTTTATTTTTCTTTATTTTTAATTTTAATAATAACATGATTTCTTCTTTTCTTATATATATTACAAACTGTTCATCTTAGTAGATACTCATCATCTTTGTAAACTATAGTTTATAAATAACAGTGTTAATATCTTTATTATAATCAGATTCTTAGCAAAGATTAGATTATTCTAACTTATTAGAATTTACAGTATAAAAGTTATATCTCAGCTTCTGCAGATATCTTATCTATTTAGATAATTCTTAAGTAAACTTATTCATCTTATCAGAATATTCTTATCACTGAATCTTAAATCAGAGCTTATAATCTTACTTCTCTGAGTTAATAATTTCTTTGATCTGATATTCTCTTTCACTCTCTAATACTTTATAAATAGAGAAATGAGTCACAGAGTTCTTTTCTAAAAATTTCTTATATTTACAAAGTAAAAAGATATAAAAAATATTATATATCTATAACTCAGATAACAGTTTTAATTTATAGAACTATAAGCTAACTTTTTTTATAATCTTATAAGACTCTATCTGTAAGAGATTCAGCTTCTTACTAGATATTTATATAATAATATTTTTAAGACTTAATTAGACTTTATTATCTTTCTTAAAACTTTTTATAATATACTTAAAGTCATAGTATCTCTTCTAATAGTCTTAAGTCTTTTTTAAGAATTTATAAGCTTTCTTTTAAATATTTTGAATTCTCTCAGCTCATTTACAGATATTATCACACTCTATAGTATACTCTCATAGATTCATCAGAGTTATTTATATATAAGTCTCAGTGAGTATCTTAAAGAGAGTTTTATCTATACTAATATACTTTAAGTTATTGTATATAAACTCTGTAAATAATAATCAATATACTCAGTTATTCTGATTGTAATTAACAATGTATTACAGATACTATTTTAATATACTTATTAAATATTCTATCTAATCATCTATCTGTTAATAAAAAGTCATACTTAGATCTCATAAGATTATAAGTATAGTTATCAGATTAGATCAGAACTTTTTTATAAAGATTAATTCTCTATCTGAGATAATATTTACAGATAACTCATATAATTAGATCATATCACAGATAAAGATATAAGTTAAATTCTTTGACTTTAAGTTCTCATAAGTGAGTATAAAGTGTGTCATCTTAATAAAGTAATCTACTATCATCAGCACACTGTCAAAACAGATATTATATATATTCTTACTTTCAGAGAGACTTATAACAGTGTTCATTTCTAGCAGTTTTTAAGATTTTTATAAGATGAGTAGAGAAGTAAGTTCTTTATATAATCTGAATCACACTACTTATAAACTCTGATAAATAGTATAAGAATTTACTATCTTCTTTATAAGCTCTTGTATCTTTAGTCAGAAGTATTATTTTATAAGTAACTTATAAGTGCTAGTATCTGTAAAATAATATATTAAAGAAGAGTTATAATATCTTTTAATAAGTTCTATATATAGAAACTTATTTATAAGTATATAAATCTGACTCTCTCTTTATAAGAGATTATTTAAATCTCTTCAATTCTTTATTTCTGCAGAATTGATCTCTGTTATAAGCAGTTTCTAAATATACTAAGTATATTTATTTTTTAATTGCAGTTCTGATAATCTGAATAGAAGATTTTATAAAAAGTTATACTCTGTTTTTTCTTATATTAAATCTTCTACAGTACTTCTCAAAGTCTATAAATTCTTCAGATTATAGATACTCTCTTCAAGAATTCTTGCAGAGATTCTCAGAGTGTTAACTCTCAGTATTATAGATAGTAGTTATACAGACTTCTTCTATCTCTTCTCTTTCTTCTCTTATATAGAATTAAGAGACTCTTCAGTTAATTTCTTTATAAAACTTAATTTAAGTATTCTATAAAGCTTTTCTATCTTCTCTACTCTCTCTATATCTATTATTCTGATCTTTCTAATATAGTCAGATCTGTGAGAGAGTTTATTTACTAAATTCTTAGTTCTTTTAATATACTCTATCTTGAATCAGAACGTACTTAGTCTCTGAGCTCAGTGAATCTACTACTATGAGAGTTTCTTTGTTAAAGTAAACTATTATAAACTGTTATGATCAGTTCTAATAGTAATCACTGTTATAAGACTCTCAAAGAAGTGATATCAGTAA